TTTAGAATGATGATTAATATTAATTATAACTTAAATTACCAGTTATTCACAGCCTGTCAGGAGCTAATAAGCCCTCCACAAGAAATTCATTTGCATTGTCTTGTGTGATCCACACATGCCTGAGAGTTAATTCTTCCTCATTCCTCAATACTATTGAGAAAGCTGAGGCTCGAAGATCAGAATCTTGTCAAAAAGTTCACATATAGTTAGCCCTGAGGCTTGGTAACTTAAATTTTGAAGTCTGCTTTAAAGCTGAAGAACTTGTGTGTTTGATAGTGATAATCTCTGACTGTGATTCTAATGTACTGGATCCATAGAAAATATTTTGAGCAGGCCTACATCAATCCTTTGCCGGCCCTCTTGGTCAGGGCAGTTTATTCTTGTGTGGTTAAAGAGATACTCCAATTAGAGTCCAGCCCCAAACACAAAACAAAACAGTGTGGTGTAGGCTCAAACCAAAATTATTTCAATCAATTTTATTTCATGGAAAAATCAAGTCTGTTTGTAAAGACACACAGATCAGCTCAAAAGAATGAACTTTCTGAATAAAACATAGATATTGGGTTTTGAGTTTGCTTTTTGATTCTTTTGCCTAAATGTGGATACATACACTTCTGATGAGAAAGTATCTCCTTAGTTAATACTGTTGGTGAGTTGTTCTTCAGTTAATCAAAATTATATTTCATTGAGAATTTTGTTTGCTTTTTATAAATTGGTTAGTGGCATTTGCATTTCTTAAGGCTGGTTCAAAAATAGGTACTACAGTTTTGTTTATGTGCATAATATACAGAACCCTACATAATATGCATAAAATATAGTTCATGTCTCTGAGGATAAACAAAATATATCAGTGATTGTTAAGATTTCCTGACACCATGATTTTAAGTGTATTTTCTGTATATTCAGTCACGGTTGCTCACCCTCTGAACTATTAGTATTTTGAATCAGATAGACATTTAATGTAGCAAAATATTTCATGCATTATAAAATTTGTAATGTCTCTGGCTTATTCCCCCAGGTATCACACACACACACACACACACACACACACACACACACACACACACACACACGATAATCTCCCTCCCTTTCAGTTGGAATGACCAAAATGTCTCCTGTCATTGGCAAAAGGCAACTAATAGAAGACAGAAGATGTTATCAATCCTTTCAAAGTATGATATGATGATTAATCAAAACACTGGGTTCAGTGGAGGGAGAGGGTTAAAAATGGGTTCCAAGAGCCCAACAATGAATGAATCATTAATTTATGAGCTAAACGGTCACTAAGAAAAAATGCTGACCTGGAACACGCATTTGAGAATTGAGACGCCTCCAGAACACACTCTAGGCTGTGCTGGTGGGCTTTGGTGCTCTTTCTGTGAATGATTTTGTAATTTTCTGCTATCACTGACTTCTGTGTTTATGTCTTACCTTTTACATGAATTTGATGAGTAGATTATGTCTTTCCTGGATCACATGTGATCACATTTTTTATACTTGTATACTAACAATTCTGTTTGGCTCATTAAAATATCTTTTCAAGTATGAATCAAAATGCTTAGTTTGTCTCTCTCTGTCTCTGTCTCTGTCTCTGTCTCTGTCTCTGTCTCTGTCTCTCTCTCTCTCTCTCTCTCTCTCTCTCTCTCTCCCTCATCCTCCCCCCTGTGTGTGTGTTTTTGGCTTTCAGGGATAGTTTCTACGTAGCCCAAGCTGTCTTCAATCTCAAGATCCTCTAGGCTCTATGTCCCCAGTACTGAGCTCACATGTATGCACCACCATGCCCTGGTGCCCAACATCTCTGCATTTCTTATTTTTTCATCTTTGATTAGTTCTCTCCTTGATTTCTTTAAGGAATTTCTTTCCACCCTCCTTTCCTTTGAAGATCTGATTGTGTTCCTCTTTTAGTCAATGTTCCACTGGCCTTTACCTATTGAGAAAAAAAAATGAATCTACTTTGCATTGCTTACGCAAAAAGCTTCAGATAGTTTTTAGGTCCTGTCTTCTGCCTCCTTTTACCCACTGCTATTTCCATCCTTATGGATGTCTATAATAAGCTTGTATCCTCAAATTCATTACCTTGGCACCCAGTGTTTACTTCAAATTTGAGTTTCTGCTGGGAAAACCCGTATCCCTCTTAGTCAACTTTCAAGTCTCCATCAAAACAGTGCCTTAGCTACAAATCCTTCTTTGATCTGCAGACATATGGTACGGCTCTGTCTTCTCAGCACCCATTGCATTTGATTTGATGTTTATTTCTAGCACCACAATCTATGTACTTTCTAGACTGTGTTCTTCCTATATGAAAGTTAAGTCTTTGAAGACAAAGGCTGTGCAGCCATCTAAGTAAACTCAAGCTGACTACAGTGCTTACCATGTAACACATACTCCTGAATATTGTTTGAATTTACCAGGAGCATAGAGTAAATAAAAACAAAATAGTATGGTAGGAATCAGTTAATTTCATTTTAAACCATAGTTCAGAGATTGAGAGACCGTATATAGGCCACGAGCCAAATGCAGCCTGCATATCTGATTTTGTAAATGAAGTTTTATGGAACTATGCCACAATGCATTCTTTTATGAATTATCTATGGCTACTTGAATGCCCCAGAGGCAGTTAAGTTGTTGAGACAGGATCAAGATGGCCTACAAAACATGAAATATTTACTGTCTGACTCTTGAGAGAAAAGGGTTGCCAATCCCAGCTAATAGGTAATTGAGTCCTCTACAGGTCACATTTTCAAATACTTTTTTAAAAAAGGGTATGTGGCTTCATTGTGACATTTAGATAAAAATTAGTTTCCTTAGATATCCAAACTTCATATCTAAAAGACACAAATATAGGCTAGCAAGATGGCTCAGAGGGCAAATGCACTTAATACTGATCTTGGGGACATGAGTTCAATATAAGGAATCCCAGAATGGAAGAAAAAATTGATTGTCCTAAGTTGTCCTCTGACCTCCACACATATTCATTGACATGCCTGTGCCTGCACGCATACACACACACACACACACACACACACACACACACACACCCCAATAAACAATTGTGAAAAAAATTTAAGGTCACAAACTCATCTAAGATTTCTCATCTGGGGAATGCAAATCACAGACAACATAACGTATTGAATACTAGTCTCCAGGGATGTGAATTAGCGGCACAGCCAAGACCTGAGTCTCCAGATCTTAGTGCTTAAACTTGAGCTTGCTCCATTAGACAAAACAAAGGAAAAAATGTACTAGTCTTGGACTTTTCTTCAGTTGACCAAGTATAGCAGCAGCCTACTCTTCCCACATTACCCTCCCAGAGCCTACTAAGAACATGTGAGTGCTTACTAGCCACTGGATGTTAATTCATATAAGACCACTACCAACAAAATTCCCTCTTGATTGTGGAGGGAATGCTGCCTCTTTGAATCCATGGCACTGTGTCTGTTATCTATCATTTGTAGAATGGCCTCTTCAGAAGCAAGGGATGGTGAGTTTCAGAGGAGTGGGAAGTAGTATTTCATGGGTCATCACATTCTCCCAGTCTTCAATGTACTTGGAGCCAGCACTCTCTGTGGACAACAGAGGTGTGTATGCATACACATAAACGTACTCTTACAGTTGTAGGAAGATATGCTTAAATTTACTGATATATAGCACTTTAAAATCATATTTCTATAAACTTGAATGATTACTGATCATCCATCTGTTCGTATTTTGTTAAAAATGGCTCATGAAAGTGCTGTAAGCCCTCTTTCCCAAGAGGGCTGGGGGGGGGGGAGGAAGGAGGGGGGTTTGTGGATAGTATGTGGAGTGAGTAGAAATTTTCTTAATAAAGAAAAATGAAAAAATATTAGGTTGTAGCATAGCAGCAGAAGGTTTTTAAATGCCTTTATGAATATTCAAGATTAAAAAAAAAGAAAGAAAGTGCTGTAAGTAGAAACAGTAGTTACTATTTTGCCATCGACTTTAAAGCCATATGTTTTTAGCTTGGCCCTTAGGATTTGGGGAAAATTACTCAACCTCGCCAAGATACAGGTTCATCTCCAATACTATACCATCATAATTGCTGATACTATATTACCAGAGTAATATAATATACCTTAAGCATATATTATATATGTGTTCAGAGTTGAAATAATATCTGGTGCTAAGTGTTGTGTTCTACATGCACAGATAAAACTGACCATGAAGCAAACATTTCCTAAAATGAAAATCTTGCATTTGTACTGAACATGTACAGATCTTTCTCCTCTGCCATTATTCTCTAAAGGAGGCATTATAACAATCATTTATACAGTATCTAAACTGTACTAGGTAGTAAAAGAAATCTAGAAATTATTCAAAGCATACAAGAGGATATATGTGACAATACTGAGAGTTTAAAATAAAAGTCTTGAACACCTATATATTTGAATAACCACAGGGACTACTGCAAGAGATGCCCCCAGATACTAAATAAAAAAATATATTATTATATAGTACAATTTAGCAATATCATTTATTCAATGCTGCTGTTATGTCATTAATAAGGTTAAAAAAATGCTGGCTATCTCAATGGGTTGCTAGATAGATTAAAAAGCACATCGCACAAACAATGACACACAGCACTATCTCAAAACACATTTGTCCCCTATATGAGATGTACATGATAACATGTAACAGCATAGTTTTTCCTGTTATGAAGATACACACAAAAAAATATTTTCTATATATACCTACAAGAAGAAGTAAGACCCTGGCAACTTCTTTCCACTTGGTTTTCTTTGGTCTATGTATGCATCATCAGTGAGTTTTTGACCCAGCAGTCACTTTAGCCAATTGAATTTTTGCAAACATGTGAGAAAATTCATGCTAAACTAAGACAGAATTTGGTTTGGGGACTAGAGAGCCAGCTATGGAACACAAGTGTGAAGATTTGTTTGCCTTTTTTACCACCTAAGAGAGAAGGAAGTTTGTGACAAATGGGTGAACTGTGTAACACTTCATGTTTTTCCCTTGGCCTGCAGGGTGACTTCACCTGGAACAGCATGTCTGGCCGCAGTGTGCGTCTGAGGTCAGTCCCCATCCAGAGCCTCTCGGAGCTGGAGCGGGCACGGCTGCAGGAAGTGGCTTTTTATCAGTTGCAGCAGGACTGTGACCTGGGCTGTCAGATCACCATCCCCAAAGGTAAGTCCCTGTTCGCACGTTCTGCCTTTCTGTGGGGGTTCTGCCAGTCAACCACCTCTTCTGCCAAAGCCACAGGCTGCAGATTCTTCTCACGCCTGGCGTTAATGCAGAATGGAAACTGTAACTTCTAGGTGGGTGGCTGGTATCCCTGTCTATTTTGAAAGACGTGTCCAAGCAGGACAGTGTACATGCCAGCTAATTAAAACAGACAAACCAACAAAATGGTTAACTGGTAGTCATTCAAAGGAAAGCCAAGAATATCTTAAAAGTCTTCATGGCTTCACATCAATCAAGGAGAAAGCATACAGAGAGGTCAACTAAAAGGTTTGGAAGACAATCTGTGACTGATATGTAGGATGAATGGAAAATTTCTTAATTAAAAAAATAAAGAAAGAAAAATTATAAAGAAAAAAAAAGGGTTGGAAGACAAGCTGGGCCTGTCTCATTTTGATTTCAAAGTCAACATCTTCGAAGAGTTCCTCAGATCTGTTAAGCCTGCAGGTTTGATTTCATGCAAACTGAGAATGTTATGGCCATGAACTCCATTTGTAGCCAGTCTTTCCTGATGTACCTGGGTAATGCTTTGCTACTATGACACTTGAGCCCAGACACACCTGCTTGCCTGGTGCTTTGACACAGGACCTGATTTCCATAAAGCTGAGAAGGGGGCACCTTAATTCTTTTAGTCCATAGAAGTCTGTCTCTGAACAGTTATTGTAATCTGTAAAGGCAGTTTTAATATTTGCATGAAGCAAAAAATTCACTTGAGGCAGAATGGAAAACCATAATCCATTATGAAGATTATAGTAAACATGTTCATAAAAAAATTTGACCAATACACTTGAAATTAAAAAAAAAAGTAGAAAAGGGACAGCAAGCTTCTGAAATGTAGACATGTTATGAATATTTATCTATCAGATATTAAGTCCATACATACATGTGTGTTGTAGTTTATCTCAAAATTCCCCAGAAATTCATGTGTTGAAGGCTTTATCCCTATTGCTGGGGTATGGCTTTAGGGATGTGATTAGATCATGAGGGCTCTGACATTTATCAATAGATTAACCCAATGACAAAAATCATGAGTGAATCGATTATGAGGAGGTGGTGAAAACTGCAAGAGATAGAAGTAAGGGGGATGGAGTAGGTCATTAGAGCATGCATATGAAAGTAGGTCTGGTCCAAGCAAGGCCTCCTCTCTGTCTGCCTCCTTGCCATCATGAACTGTGCAGTTCTGTCCTACCACAATCTTATGATGCTCTGCCTCAAAATAGGTGTAGACACAGGGGATCCAAGTAACCATGAACTGAAACCTATAGCACCATATGTATTTGTTCCTTTTCAGATGTTTACCTCAGGTATTTAGTGGCAGCCACACAGAGAAAAAAAACTAACTAGCACAATGTATTGTGTGTGTGTGTGTGTGTGTGTGTGTGTGTGTGTGTGTGTGTGTGTAGCACAATGAATTGTGTGTGTGTGTGTGTGTGTGTGTGTGTGTGTGTGTGTGTGTAATGTAGTTCTCAAGTAGAGATGATTTTGCCTCCTATCTCCCAGAGGACATCTGCCAGTTTCTGGCCATGCATTTGGTTATCATACTTTGAGAGAAGGTTCTACTGGCATCAAGTGCGTTCAAGCCAGAAATACTGCTAAATCACCTATAATACATGTGACAACCTTCCTCAATAGTTATTATCAGGTCTCAAATATTCAAGGGCCAAGGCTGAGCCACTTTACCTTACATACAAACATACGCTCCCATTCTTCCATTCATGGTGCTTATAGATCTGTCTTTTGTTTTTGTTTTGCTTCTAGACAGGGCTGTACTAGTTGAGGAGTCTACAGGCTAGAATTTAGGAACTCATTTATTCATTCCCCCAACTGACTAGTCATATGGACTTAGATGATTCACCTTTGCAATAGGAGAGTTAGTTCTTGATTTTACAAGCAGTAGCACAAAATTCTGCATACAGACAATTGGGAATCAATCTTCCTCAAGACCCAGCTATACTATTCTTGGGCATATACCTGAAGACTGATCAATCATACCACAGGGACACATGCTCAACTATGTTCATAGCATCATTATTCATAGTAGCTAGAACCTGGAAATAACCTAGATGTCCCTCAGGTGAAGAATTGATTAAAAAAATGTAGTACATGTACACAATGGAGTACTACTAAGCAGAGAAAAACAGTGACATCATGAAACTTACAGGCAAATGGATGGAACTAGAAAATATGATCTTGAGTGAGGTAACCCAGACTCAGAAAGACAAACATGGTATGTACTCACTCATAAGTGGATACTAGATGTAAAGCAAAGGATAACCAGACTGTAACCCAGCTACAGAGATGCTAGCTAACAAGGAGGACCCTAAGATTGCCATGGAAAGGGAAAATAGATGAGATCTCTGTGAGTAAACTGAGGATGAGGGGTGAGCAATGGAGGGTAGGGGATGGGGGATGAGAGCATAAGGAAATGGGATGCTCGAGCTGGAACAGGGATGGAGTGGGAAAGCAATGAGAGAGATGCCATGATGGAGGGAGATATCACGGGAATATAGAGAAAACGGGTGCTTCAGAAGTTCCCTGGAATCCCCAAAGATGACCCCAACTTAGACTACTAGAAATAGTGGAGAGGGTACCTGAACTGAACTGGCTTACTCCAGTGATAAGATCAGTGAAGATCCTGTCATCACAGAACTTTTCTCCAGTGACTGATGGAGGCAGATGCAGAGATCCACAACCAAACACCAGGCAGAGATCCAGGAATCCAGTAGGAGAGAGAGGAGAGGGATTCTATGAGCAAGTGCATCAGGATCATGATGGGGAAACCTGCAAAGACGACCAAACCAAACTAGTGGGAACTCAGGAAAGTTGGATCAATGTCTGTAGAGCCTGCATGGGACTGGAGTAGGCCTACTGTATGGCAAGACAATTGTGTAGCTTGCTGGGGCGGGGAGGGGGGGGGCCTGGTGGTAGAATCAGAATCCATCCCTGGTGCATGAGTGGGCTTTTTGGAGCCCACTACCTAAGATGGGACACCTCTTGCAGCCTTGAGGCAGGGGGAAGGGCTTGGACTTGCCTCTACTGGATGTGCCTCCCCACGAGAGGCCTTGCCTTCTTGTGGGGAGAAATGGGGGGATGGCCGGGGGTGGGAGGAGAGAAGAGGGGGATCTTTGATGTGTAAAATAAATGAAAAAATTTTCTTTAAAAAAAGAAAAAAATGGAAGGTACAAATAAATTACATTTTCTTGGTATTGTTGGAAATAGTGGCTATAACAAAATAGTTTGTGTAATTAGGATTATGGTAATTTTGACATTATTGATAGGAATATATGAGTTGAATGCTATCAAAATATTATGCAAAATAGTGGCAGTACAAAATTTTAATATTACTACTTAAAGATAACACTTTCTATTTTCTGTTACTTGGCATTCTATCAGGTTTTGACTTTCAATAAATAAAATTTCCCTACTATAAAAAAAGATTTCTGAGTACAGAGTTTGCAATTGGATGGTAAGTCTTAGGGCCATGCCTTGCTTTTTCTTTAGGCTGACATCTGGTACTCTGTTTTGGGCTATGGAGCTCAGAATCAAGATAGGGTATAGCTATGGGCTGGTGAGGTATATATGCCAATAACAGAAGCCGTGTCACATTGGCTTTCTTGTCATGATAATCAAAGTCACCTCTACCATCCCTATTCTCTGTTGTTCCAGTTCATGCGAATCTCACACGTAGATATCCTCAGCCCAGATATAATGTTCTCGTGCAGTTCTGGAAACTGTACTACAGCAACTATCAGGTCACACTACCATTTCACTTACAGGCTTTCCTGCCTTGCCTGGCCTTGCTTTGCTTATAAAGTGTAGGAGAAACTCGTCCTTCCCACCCACTTTGCTCACAAGTGGCCTATGTAACCACCACCAATGATACTATCTCCTTTTCATGAGCACAAACATTCTTGGCATTCCTAAAAAAAAAAGTGGAAGTTTTCACAAAATGCAGTTTATACTGAAGGGCATGATAACTTTGAAAGATCTTTGAATTTAATGCATATGAGATCAGCTATCAGGAAAGAGATTATTGTTTGTAGCACTACTTCAAAATCTAGTTAATTTGGTGTTTCTCTTTGTTCATGGTTTTGGAAGAGGCCATAAAAGAAAATAGCCATTAGCAAATAGAACTGCTATAAAACTTGTCTGCTAGAGGCTCTGTCTACAACTGTGTGGTTCCAAACACCTTCAAGGAATGATTCATGCTATTGAGTTGTTACAAAATGTCACCAGGCCATGAGGGATATTTTCATATTTTCTATCAAAGTGAAAATTAATGGCTTAAAAATAAGTTGTATTATTTATGGAAGAAAGAAGTGACTGAGTAGGAAAAGTCAGCCGTCAGACAAGACTTTCTGGAAGTATTGGGGTAGGTGATTTATAGACATGGAATAGCAACTGAGCTCTTTTGAATGTGTGACCAGTGCCAAATGCTATGATAGCATCTATAGGATGGATGTGTCCACTTAGTTCTAAACAGTGTCAGATTCATTATGTGAATAATTCCCCAAGGAAAATAAACACAGCATCCAGTGTCTAGAACCTAAAGAAATAACACCATTCCTGATAAGACAGGAGACACATTGGACATGAAAACCCATTCAAACTCATATTTCCATTTCCTGTCACTTGGGGATGATTGTATGAGCTCATTTGTGGATACTGGAGCTTCCTGGTCTTGAATAAAGATACTCTGGCATACTCCATAGCTTCAACATTCATCAGAGAGAGGGAAGAATTGAGGCTCAGGTAGTTGGAAAGTCACTGAGATAATTCTCTAGAATGAATAACAGTGGAGAATCTTATCTTGGCTGGAGCCGTAATGACTAGACATTGATTGCATGGGCAAAGATTCAGGTGAGTTAGAAGATGGGAGGGAACCATGTGGAATTTCAGTTCATATTGCTTCTGCACTTCCAGGGAAGTAAGATGTAGTTTTATTT